GTCTTAGCACGTCTTACGAGCGACCCTACTGCAACTTGAAGCTGGCGGCTTCTCTACTTTAATCAGAATCACTGGTGTACAGATTCCCTCCACCTTCAAATGTCCAACCAGACCGAAACCCTTCCTTTCAGAAAGTCCGGCCGTCTCACCTGGCAACCTGCTGCTGGCTCTGGCACAAAGACCGGGAATTGAGTGCGTCGTGTCTTGGTAAACTGAATATATTCGCTATGCGAGCCCGAGAGCTGTAACAAGGCATAGTAGGGGGAAGAACAACGCGGCACACGTCGAGAAACCATCGCGCGAGGATGCATAGATTACCTAATTCTGATATCACAGACGCCCGAAGGCCTGACCGACTCAAGAATCTATCCTGGAATCGACCCGTAGAAACGTGGGGTGGTCAAAGTGCCCACACGAATCCAGGACGATTCCCTTTCACCGAATCGCTGCAGAATCGCTTGTCGAACCGTCCTCCGAAACGCCATCTTTGACTACCCCTAATTTGCCCACGCTACTTATCCAGTGCCGCTGATCTGTAGACCGAGAGTCGCCGGTACCTCTACCTCATGCTCTGCAAACTGGCAGCTTGGATCTCCTGACTGCTCGACTGTGCTTGCTTCTCGTTAGAGGGACCTCGAATTAACTGTTACGTGACACACACTTGTTCAGTGGCGAGATCCCGAGTGGTGGATCGCGATATGTCCTGACCGTCCATGGGTATTTAGAAGTCTTAAACACAACAAGATCACGTCCGACTCGACTGCTATTGAACCACGCTTCAATTGTTTGAATAAGAGAGTAGTGAGAACACATCGGTTCCGTCCGGTCGCTTCCAAGACGGCTCCACTCGACGAGTCGACGCCAATCTGGGTGCCCTTCTCTTCTCGACTATGACCACGACCTCCACAGCACATCGATGTTGCTACGGAATGTTTACCCGCACGGCTTCCGCACAGTCCCGACTACTTCAAGGGGATTCCTACCGCTCGGCGCCGCTGCGTTGTAAGCTTATCAAAGAACGTCAAAAGGTCACAAGTGAGACTATGTTATATGCACCTCGATATGTCGATTCGGCGGATTAAACGACATCTGCTAGGTGGCAATGCTAGTCTGTGGTTGACTGGCAAGTACATGGCTCTGCCCAATGCGCAACTTCATGCGCGCGTTCGACGACTTTCATGAAGGCCCATGCCAGGTCAATTCACAATGGGGCGTGTGCGTTCGTCGGTGGCTGCAATCGACGCCTCAGAAGATCCTAACGACATGGAATCGGCCCAGCCACGCCAACACCTTGACGGAGTGGGACCACAACGCCGCAACCCCATTCAACTTCGTCGCCTTCTCTCATAATACCACTGGATAGTACGACAAGCTCGTCGCGAGCCCCAAGCATACTTGGAACTCTGAAGCGGGTTAGGGGTTTACGTTTAGGGTTGGCACACACCAGAAGATGCACGCTCGGCTCGGGGCCGAGTTCGCGAGCGTGCTGTCGATGATTACCACTGCCGAAGGCATGTTCTGCACAAGATTCGATGGCCTTCCGCTGCACAAACTGCACGGGCTACCTGCCACACGCGCGCATGCCAAGCAGAGCGTTAACATTAGGCCCCCCTGCGTATCTGGGGCACGGATCCACGATATGCATATCATCCAGGGAGGGAATGAACGCCGAGTCAATGAGACGCTACGAAGGCTAACATCGAGGTTGCCGGTGGATGAGATTACCTCGAACGTGCAACCATTGTAATACCATGTGCAGCATTCTACATACCTGTGTATCTTCTCAGAATTTGATATGGGATTCGATGCTGTATTGTAGACATCGAGTGTAGCTGATCTCGACCTGTTGAAGACTTATAGGATCTGAAGTTGAGCTACCGTTTAGTGCCCCATAGCATCGAATATCAAATGACATTCAATATGACAAAGAAACTCAAGGACACTGTGCGCCCGGCCGCGTGATTGTGTATAAGGGCTCAGGGTCAAGGGGCGGAAGCTGAGTACTGATCAGGAGTACTGAGTGGTCGTCAACGGTATAATTCATGTGCGCACCAAAAGGGGCCACCTTGCTCGGCGCTCCACGAATTACGCATCTTGCTCTGCTCGTCTACCTTACTTTTGCCCCACTCCGAATCATCCAAACGGCTCATCGGATACTCGCGATATCAACTGGAGTCATTTCATTGCCTCGTAAATTGCGTAATTCCCTCAGGTGCGCATTGCAAAAGCGTGAGCTTCGCACGCACGAGTTCGATATGAAGGTACGCCCCTTCTCTACCCGCCTCAGTCAACGCGTTACACATACTGCCCGTGTAATCATCACAAGATCGCTATTGAGGGATGCTGTCACGGAGAACTCGACGCTATCTACTCGCATATCGCGTCCCTCGAAGAGCGAAATGGGTATAAGGTCGACCTCCTCCTCATCTGTGGCGACTTCCAGGCCATACGAAACTACCACGACCTGCAATGCATGGCGGTTCCCGACAAATATAAGAAGCTTGGAGGGTTTCTGAAGTAGGTGGGCTATCACCCATCCCCATTCGGTCGTGGTGGTGAGGATTCATTCGGTTTTACGTCGTGCAGATACTACACTGGCCAAGCCAAGGCACCGATCTTGACAATAGTCATCGGCGGGAATCATGAAGCCTCAAATTACTTCTGGGAGCTGTAAGTCATCCTTCACATCTGAATGCACGGTCTGCTGGAGGAAGCACAGGTACCATGGAGGTTGGCTTGCTCCGAACATATACTTCCTAGGTCATGCCGGGTGTGTGCAGGTGAATGGTGTACGTATAGCGGGCGCATCAGGGATATTCAAGGCACAAGATTTCAGACAAGGTGTGTCTCGTCTGTTCGTTCCTACTCTGTCTCAATTGAACCTCTCTCAGGCCATTGGGAACGAATTCCTTATAATCACAGCTCTGTGCGGAGTATATATCACATCCGGGAGTACAATGTTAGGCGGCTCTCCCTCGTACGTCTGACAACATCTAGCTCCATGAAGCCACAAGAAAAGGTTATCACTAACCAGCTTCCCGTTCGACTCATAGCTTTCATCTCCAGCGGTCTTCCTATCGCATGACTGGCCACAGGGCATCGAACATCACGGAAACCTTCGAGATTTGCTTCGACGGAAGCCTTACTTCCGTGACGACATCAACAAAGGTGCTTTAGGTTCACCGCCCTTGATGGGCCTTCTGCGCACTCTCAAGCCGCAGTGGTGGTTCTCTGCACATCTGCACTGTCGCTTCGAGGCGACGGTCCTACATAACAGTCGAGATCCAGACGCTAGCAGCATCCGCGACGCGACCAAGAGCGCAGAGAAAACGAATCCGGATGAGATCAACATCGAAGACGACGTAGATACCGAACCTGCAGCCGCAGCAGTTCCTGCAGAAGGTAGGGGAATCGCGCCCAGAAACACCGACGAGATAATCCTGGACGATGAGGAGGAAGATGTTAAAGCTCCGCCTACTCCCCTACCGCCCCCGACAGAAACGAAGTTCCTCGCTCTCGACAAGTGCTTGCCCAGAAGACAGTTCCTTGAGGTATGTCGCCTGACCGGGAGAGCAATTTCAACACGTTGTGGCCATATATTCCTCCCAAGCGGCTTGGTCGGAGCAAAGTCGCTGACGTTCTGCCGATTGCTGCAGGTAATCGACGTCGACATTATACCTCCTGGACAGCATCGAGAGGATGGCCTCGTTCTATCATTCGACCCCGAATGGCTAGCAATCACTCGTGCATTCCACCAGCACATGACGCTCAGCCGCACCCAATCATCATATCCAGATGAAACATCGGCGCGAGACGCAGTGCAGCGTGAGATAGGATGGATCAAGGAACACGTCCTCGCCAACAAGGATAATGGGATCATCAAAGTAGACGATATACAACAATTCGTGATGACAGCACCGGCACCGGCACCGGAGGACAAGGACACAAGGGCCCAACGTAAGTCCTCGCGTTGATTCGGCTCGGCAAATGTGCGGAGAAGTCGACGATGGATGATTGGTTCTACGCAGCGCCGTATTATCCCAACCCTCAAACTGCGGCGTTCTGTGAGCTGCTGCAAATCGAGAACAAGGTCAATCTCATTGTCCCTGAGAGTGGCTCGACGGCATAAGGCACAACTCCTCTTCCTCGTGTGTTCACTGCCTGTTCGCCACCACGCTATCCACCATGCTTCACCGCGTGTCGTGTCTCGAACACAACTAGTGATCGCGCCTCACGTCATGTATCTGCAAGGTTCGCCCCTTGTACATTCAATATTGCCATCCGTTCTTTTCTGTATCGCGCGCAACCAGTTCATTTTTTGTCTGTCCAGTGCCCATCATGTTGCTTATCTGCTCTTTCTCGCCACTCTTCCATTCTGCTCGATGGCTCACTTGACCTGATTTCTCTGATTCCAAGACTGCGCCTTCGTGATAACGATCGCCTGTGAGCGCTCGTGACTCCGAGTCCCAAGCCGACTGGCTGCATCGGGCACGATCCTTTTACCCCACCGGTACGTCACATCAGGGTTGTGAACCCGATGAAACCCTCAACGGATCTAGACGGAAGAGGAGCTTATTTGCGGTCCTCACGCCGTTGAGCTCTTCTTTAGCGGTCAGTAAAGTTTTCCAGGTCCTCGCGGAGACGCTCAGAGACTTAGCGAGTGTTGGAAGACGCCAGTTCATATGCTTGTGCAGCCGAAGGAGGACTAGTCCAACACGCCTGTTCTACGTCGCGCTCCAGCCGTTGTAGCTTGACTCGGACGTTCGGCGCCCATGATTCCGCAAGTTATCTCACGGTCTGAGTTTAGGTTCGTGCTTTCCCCCAGATCTAACGCACTGGACTGCATCTCCGTACCGGTGCGTCGGCGTATTCCTCGGGACGAATCACTCAATTGGTATGCCACGCCCGGGGAAGGATGCGATGATCAGCGGGATTACGGAGCCTGTAGGCCCACCTTTGAAGCGGCGAAGACAACGGAAGTCACAAAGTAGGAACAATGTTGTGTGTGCGACTGTTCAGGCACCTGCAATTCATTCCAGGTACCTACATGCGTGACGCTTCCCCTTCGAAGCTAGGATTTGCTCACGCCGGTCGGCGCAGGCGTCGGACGAATTTGATTGTGGCATCGGGATTGCTCTTGACACGGCCCTTCGTATGTGTTCCCGTTGGCACAGCGTATGTGCTTTGAACTGTGGACTGTCAGAATCTGACCAGCCCGTGGCGAACGGTTGATGTCTGACCAGTACGCGCGTTACAGAGCACGAAAAAAGCCCGGATGCCATCCCGCCGTCTAGGACGCTCTGATAGCATATAGTGTCGCGTTTCAACACCAGAGCCTCAATGCAGGATAAGCCATACAGTCGAAACCTCATCTGCTGACTTACGAGACATACAGCGCCGCTGACTACGTGTAATAGATACCATCGCCGCATGGACCGTATGGTGTTTGATGGCCGTCGTCGCAGTTCTTGCAAGACGTCAAAGCTGAGCTACATGTCACATTGGCTCCCTTACACTAGCTCACTCGTTGCCTCGCAGGCGACAAGAGGCAGAGCTAACCCTGTAGGTGGGTTACACTTCTTTCCAGTTTCTGCAATTCGTGAATCGGCATCGCGAGGCGTGGGGTCGCGAAGACATCACATCTTCGAATCCACTTGCCAGTGGAGGACGACCGGTGCTTTGATCCTCCGGCTGAGAGAACGTACAGAAGCGTATCGTGAAGTGCACATCTCCGAAGAGGTCTGACATGGCGAGTTTCTGGTGAGAGTGTACTGTGCACAATAGGATAGAGAAGATATAGGTCCCCAAGCACGGATGATGCTCTTCGCCTCGTGCTGTTGCGCCCGATCAGCGTGTGAGCTCACGGCTTCCAGACCTTCCCCCTCAGGCGAGTGCCACTGTTCTCATCAGTCGGATTTTTTCGCGCTGCTGCTCTGACACGGAGACCCCCGTTTCTGTTTACTGTATCGTCTATGTCTCCAACATTGGCGTGGTGAAGCTCTGGCAACCGTTGACCGAGTCCTATTCAAGGGGCACATGTCACCCCAACGCGCCACGGGCATCGATTTCTACGCTCGGAGCTACGTCCGACGTCAAACCTGCGACGACGATGATACATCCACGTAGAACCTCGACTTTACACTCCATACCTTCTAATCGTACGGCGAGAGACGCCATTACAGAACACTCACTGCAAGCCTTCGACTGACATCGCCGCCGCTGGGCATCGCAACTCGGTGGTCTATGTCCCGAGGGTCACGATTCGAGATTATCGTCATAATAGAGGCACCCTGTTGCCAGAGGACCAAGGAGAGCAAGTCTTGTATTACTCACAGCATCCTCTGCGGCATTGTGAGCCTACCAGCCCTACTTACGGCCAGGAGGCACTCATCGTGCTGAGGTTGCCTCCCCCAAATCGCATGTCTTTCTTTCGAGAGCGGCCACGCTGAATTTTGAGTTCACAAGGGTCTTCAAGTTGTTATGTAGAGGGCCAACAGTCTGTCAACATCCATCGACACAAAGATGAGCGGAAGGAGAGCAGCAATAGGTAACGGGGCAAATATCCAGGAAACGCTGGGTACCTTCCCCCTATATCAGCAGGGACCGAGACGGCGTTCGTAGGATGTCTCAGGCCTGCCAGGACCGTACTTTATAGCATACCTGTCGCAGCCTCCGCCGGCCTTCGTGGAACAAGCACCGCTCAGGCACCCAACGGACAACCGGACATGGGGCCCGCTATTGCCAGTGAGGCACAAATATATGTTATACCTACACATCGACCTATAGTTCTATGGAGCTAATCCTTTCACCATCAGACCAGTTCACGCAGCACTACGGAGGAAAGACTGTACCTACACGTCCGGGGCTATTTCTGCGACGCTGCGACCTTGACTAACAAGGTTGAACCTACGCTGCGCGAGGCGAACGACTCAGCATGGATGCCCGCTGAGCCCGTACTAATGCATGCATGTAGAGGTTGGATGCAGCGAATTACGGACGAACAACGTTTCTTGTAGTTCTGGTACTCACACTGGCGCAATTGATTTCCGTTACGCTGGGTGGGTCAATTCTCATTTCACAGGGGACAGTGGAAGCGGCTTTCATTCGAATGATGCCTGCGCGGAGCTAGGACGGCATTTTAGAATCATCCCGATAAGATAGAGCCCCGATCCAGTATAAAGCTTGACTAGCGCAGACGTGTTTCATGGGCACCGCTGAGAAACTGGAGTCTGACTAAGGTTCTCCTCGGTGTCAAAAAGCGCGTGGTCCACAGTGAGGTTTCGGCCTACTCGGCCTACACTCTAAATGGTTTGCCGTTCCCATGAATATACCGAATTTGGAGAACTGCTGGATTGTCGAACAGTTTCGAGACTGATCACGTCAGTGATGCGAAAGAAATCAGATACTTCAACGCCATCATCTACAAGTTGCGCGGCTCCTTGGCGGTCAATGTTTCCATCACCAGTTCGCGATGCTCGCGTCACATTTCTCAGGTCCGCCGGCAGCTGTTTTACGGTACACCTTTCCGTCAGTATATCCGCCGCGCAATGTCGCCGTAAGCAGATCGCTGTTAGCGAGGACTTGAGACCGCGCTAGTGGTCAGGGTGAAGATAGCTACGGCCCGCGGTCACGTTGGCAAAACCAACGCCTCGGTCTGTGGGCCTGGGTGAATCTACGCTTCGGCTGACCCTGTGATCCACATTGACAGATTCGCTCTAGCGCGCCGTAGCATGTTGGCATCGTCTGATACGCCGTGAAGCCGAGTGTAACGTGTTCAATTTTAAGGAACCTTTTTAACCACGGCTTTGTGAATCGCAAATTTAAGATATCCCTCAGGGGACCCCACGCGAGGAGCCTGCCAATACGCGCGATGCTAGATTCCCAGACCGCGGTTAGGAACTTTTACTCACGGGAAGCGTCAGGAAAGGGAATCAATGCGGCGAATGGCAAAGTAGCGTGACAGTAAGCACAGCACCATGGTGCATCTGTCTTGGGAGTTCACTTTCCACGTTGACAGCAGCGCACGGGGCGCGGGCACGCGCGGGACTCCAACATGCGAAATGCTGCGGGCACATGGCTGCTGCTTCTCGATATAACCATGGGCGTGCCTGACGCTGCCGGCGGGAACGCAATCGTGGGCCGATAGCCATATGTACACAGCGCCAGTTCTCAACCTCAATCCAGATCGCCCTTCCGGCCTCAATACAAGATTCCCCATCCTGCGGTACGCTTCCGTGCCTGGCCCGGTGTACAGGACGAGGCTGAAGCTTCTCTCGTCTTGCCCCAAGTTATCAACTCTCATGGCCTGCCCTTGTCTGCTCTCTCGCTTGAACACAGTCATATATGATGTTCTTCCACTTGCGAACCGGTGAAGGCAGTTGACTGAATAGCTCACGACTCATGAGACGGTGATCCTTATTAGGTACGGAGTTGAGCATCGACTCACATGGCATGATCGCAGTGTAATGAGCTAAGCTTTCGTTCTTGCATAGCGTGGCATAACCTATATGGTGCGCATCGTGAACTACCGTGTCCAGTTTTGACCCGAATGCCTATAGGTCGCCAGAAAGAATAGCGATAGAGCGGCACTCCCCGGTGTGTTGACAGAGAGAGATATTAGTGCCTCAGTGCGTCCGTACGATCGACCAAGCTCGGCCTGAGTAGACCTCCATAGTGCACGGCTACTAAGTCGTTCGCCACCCTTGCGGGAACAATGCGTGGTATGGGACCAGCGAGAGCACGCGCGACCGTCGCAATAGTATATACCGCGGTCGACGATCACGCTTGAACCGACGTCCTACGTTTATCCGTCAGCTATGACAGCATGAGACATTTCGTGTGAGTCGCACCCGTCTTGCGCGACCCTCTCGCACAATAAGTGTGTGATGTTGGCGTGTGGCCAGAAAGTGATGTTTCGGACCCGAGGAACGTCTGCTATCTCGCCGTCTTCGGACAAAAGCACCGGGTAGCCGAGCTCGCATGCCCTACAAGATTCGGGTAGGCATTGTACAGTCGTAGCATGCAATTGCAAAGCATAAAACAGGCCGTACGAATGACCTGATATTTAACACAATGTATCGTGCCAAACTCTAGAGTCACGGTATCTGTGATCAACCGGGATCGAGTGGGATCAGATAGCGTATAGTTCTCGACTCATTGCCGGACAATTTCGCTCCTTAGCGTCGAATTGACCGACGTCTGGCACAATGGAAATAATCTGTCAGCATGCGCGCGCAATGGCTGATATCCGGTCATCCCCGAGGTATCGGAGACGAGTCCGGCGAAGAGAGAAGATGCAAGCTCCGCCCGGGTTTCGCACAATGTGAGA